CGCGTGCTCTTCCACGTGTCGGTCTCATGCCACACGCGTGATGTCATGTTCTTGCCTTCCGCCTCCGTGTAGACCCTCTCAGGGCCACGCTGATGTCATGTCTTTCCCTCCCTCCGTGTAGACCCTCTCAAGCCAGCGCACGATGTCAATGTCTCTGCCCCTCTCGCGTCGTAAGACGCTCCTCAGCCACCGCCCTGATGTCATTTCTCTTCCTTCCCTTCCGTGTAGACCCTCCTCAGCCCCGCGCTGATGTCATGTTCTTCCCTTGCCCCCCGGTACGCCTCTCAGTCCATATGCACTGATTCACTGTGTGCTTCCTCCTCCCGTGAGACCCTCTCAGCCCCGGCACGTGATGTCATGTCTTGCCTCCCTTCCGTGTAGACCCCTCAGCGCACCGCATCTGATTGTTATGTTTTTTTTTTTTTTATAATGTTTCTGTTTATTTCTGTAGAAATCACACAAAGCAATCAACAATCAAAACACGAGTAGGCATACATTGGTAGACGTTATGCACAATAATTAGTATTTGACGAAAGCTATACAGAGTAATCTTTTGGGCCAAATAATTTTTTGCAGGGTATCTAGCTGCAACATCAGCAACAAGGAAATAAGCAGTAATTATTTGGCAACAAGGCCTTTTTGTATAGTGTACAATACGTTACAAAACTGTTACGAAATATAGCTATTTAAAGTCTGTGCATTACTGGATGCCCTTTCCGCATAAAATCTGTGCTCAAAAGGGAGGTAGGAGGGAAAAGGGGGGGAGGGGGTGATTTTGTTATTGTTTGCTGCTATGTATGTTCAATTATTTCCATGATGTATGCTTAAATATGCCTTCACTGCAGCCAGGGTTGGGATCTCTTTCGCTTAACTTTGAGCGATATATAAGCATATTTAGAAATGGTTAGAGTATTACATTAAAAGATTATATCTTCTTTGAGAGCCAGAATACATATCTTGCGCCTCCAATAGGTTTCAAGTGTGGATATCCGGCAAGATATCAAACCACGGAGGCGATCCGTCCATACAAAGCAATACATTCACATTCTACAAAAGATGGAGGCAATGTTCAATACTAACTTACAAAAAAGTACAAATGTATTGTCACTTGAATGCGAATGTTGTGAGAAGTTTATTTAGTAGGTAAAAATTCTTTTTAATATTTTTTTTATGTTTTGAGGCGAAAAAAATATCTAAATTCACAAGTGTAGTGGTAAACGCAACTTATATATCTTTTCCACATTGATATATTAGGCTGATTCTATGTTTGGGGTAGGCTTCACGTATCCATTTGCCCAGTGACGATGGGCAAATTTTGACGACTTAGTCTGAGATTAGAAATTTTATGACTAAGGTCACTACATCCCCTTGTTTACGCTTAGGCAGCCGTAGGCTGGGTAGTATGGAGGGGGTTTGGGTGATTTTATATTGGCTAATGCCTTTAGCGCAGCTCTGTGGTAATGCTCTTTTTAATCTATATTGTAGTGCTAAAATAGTTATGTTAGACTATTGTAATCAGTTTTTAGCTCAAGGCTATAGTTTTTATATTGACCAGTATCGTCTGGCAATTATGTCCTTTATATATACCAGACCTTGTTATACCAGGGTTTTAATGAAATCCAACTTAACACACTGTTTCCCATATCGGTGGTTTAGTATATCTATATTATGTTTTGGTTGCAAATATTTTCACTAAACTTTGTCCACGCTGGTTAAACATTTGCCCAGACAGGATTTCTAATTTTAGAACAAGCGTTTTATTACCGGGCCCATGCTAACCACTGTATTCAGCCGTATGATTAGGAAACAATGTCCAGGCATTTTGTTTAGCAAATCTTGCGAATCCCAAGCAACCTTTAGGCTTATTCAGACATAATTTTTTATGTCTACCATTTTAATCCTCCTTTTCATAGCCTTTTGACAGTTGAGACTTACTTATTTTGGGGGTTTTGTTGTTCCTCAAATAAACGCTGAGAACATTAATGCTAGCATGTTGATAATTTTTCATCTGATCTGGAAGTGCTAGTAATAAGTGAGTTATCATTGGAAGAACTAGTGATTTGATAACAGTTAGTTTTTGGCCTAATGGGTATAGTTTCGGATAAGACCATCGAGTGCAAGATGTTTTTTCATATTGTTGAATTTTGGGGATAATTCCATTCCGTAATATTTGTAAATTTGTTACTTGGAATTCAACAGCCCGAATGATTTGAACGTGTTGGTCCATTGTCAGATTGTTTTCTCTGGCAAAAACGTCGATCCGCGACTCTCTCATTGATCCAAGCCAGACTATTTAGTTTTTCCTATGTTAATTTTAAACCAGATATTTCATAGTACATTTAAATACATCTAGCGATTCTTTTAATGACTTTTCACTACCGTCTAATAGAAGGGATGTGTCATCCGCATATTGGGAGATTTTAAATATGGTATTCCATAACTTTATGCCTTTAATATTTTTGTTGTTTCTAATAGCAATGCCAAAAATTTCCACACCAGAGATAAGATGTAGGGGGAGATCGGATCTCCTGTCCGGCAACCTCTACCTAATTTAAAAAAAATCTTGAAAATAGGCCATTTTGAATAACGCAGGCTTCGACGGCCATATTGGAACATGTGTTTCCACTGTTTTATGGATTTACCAAAAATTGAAGAGGTCGAAAACTTTGAGTATAAAATCCCATGATACCTGATCGAAAGCTTTTCAAGTCAATACTAACAGCATTCCAGGTATATTTGTTTCTCAGTTTCGAACCAGTACATCATGGAGTAGTCTTATGTTTTCTCGATAGATCTCCTTTTAAGAAAGGCCTGTTGGTCTTCGTGAATTATACTGTCTAAGACTAGTTTTAATGCTTTCAGCAATGCATGAGGATATGAGTTTATATGAGATATTTAGAAGAGAAATAGGCGCCATTTTTTAGATAGTTGCGAAGGTCTACCTGCTTGGTAGACATGTGATAAGGCCTTGTTTTTGCGTTATGGACAGGTTTTTATTTCATAAGCAAAATTTATAGATCGAAGAAGAAAGTATCCTATGTCTACCCAGAAGAATTTTAGAAATTCGGCAGTGTAGCCATCCAGTCCTGGACTTTTGTTATTTTTGAACCGTCTCAAAGCGTTTAGAAGTCGGTGTATGTTATCAGTCGCCTCCATATTATTTTTTGCGATTCAGACAGAAGTGGAATATTTGCCCGTTGCAGTTTGTCAAATAGATATTGTCGTCCACCTCAACATGCTTTTTAGTGTAAAGAAACTCGTAGAAGTTTTTTTGCATGCTTAAAATTTCCCTTTGTTCCGAAACAGTGGTTCCATCCTCCCGTTTTATTTCATTCATGATTTTGTTTGTATACTTTCTATTTTCTAAGTGAGAAAAATAGGATGATGGTTTTGTCCCTAGTTCATACCATCTAAGCTTTGGATCTGATCATTATGGCGCTGGATCTGTTTTTTCTAATCTCCTCTAGTTCTAAATTGAGATGTTCTAAAGTGTCTAAATTTGTTTGGAGTTCTGGGGGTCCATTTTAATTTTGTCATCCAGAAACTTTAATTTTAGTTTCTATTTGAGCGTTCTTGCTCATTGCTTAACTTTTTTTTTTGAGGAATAGTGTATAATATTTCCTCTTAGTTGGACTAGGAGAGTTTCCCAGATAGAGCTGATCATCTATTGTTAGTTGCAAGTCGTTTGTAGGATAGGTTGCCACGTATTCAGGATTATAGGGGAGGCTGGCGTATGTTAGATTTTATTAAATAGATTTCATTTTTTATTAGTTCTACAAATTTCTGATCTTTTAGAAGGGAAATTATTAAACTTCCAGTATCCTTTGCATGTTCATTTGTTGAGGTGTTTAAACCAATTTTTACTGGAGGCATGATCTGACTTATATTGGTAAGATATAAGATTCAAAGAAATTTGACATCATTGTCCTCTGTGGGCCAAAAAAAATCCAAGCGGCCATTTTAATGATTTTTTTTACCCCAAGTAAAATGGCTTTATCTTCGTTAAAAGCTCTCCACACATCTACAAGTTCTTTTTCAGCAATAAGCAACTTTACCACGTTTCTGGCCCTAGGGTTATTGATGGCTTTATAATTTAGTAAATCTTTTGTCGGATGCTATTACCAAATTCCAGTCTCCACATAGTATAAAACTGTCATTCTCAACTCTTCGACAATACTTCATTATGTTGGTGTAAAAATCAGGCTTGTCCTTCATTTGGACCCATAGAGACTTTGCTAAGGTAAATCTGCAAGGAGTTATTTATGGAGATATCAAGGATGATATAGTTTCCATTTTTATCTTTTTTGCTTTTATGTATTTCATACTCAAAGCATTATTAAATAGAATAGCAACTCCCCTGGCCTGTGACGAATATGGGACATATTAGACATTCAAGGCGCCCCATTCTGCTTTTAACATAGTTTTCGCAGTTTGGGATTCAATGTGTATGTCTTGTAAACAAGTGATATGTATGTTTTGTTCACGAAAGCGTTTAAAAAAAATCCCTACGCTTGATCCGATCTCCAAGTCCCCTACCAGTTTAGTGCTCTGTATGCTTATAGACATTTTGTTTATATTTTAAAGTTGAAAAAATAGGTTTTGAACTATATATAGACATGAGTATGTGGAAAACAGTAAAGTATAAATTTTTGAAAGACATTTAGGAGCATTGGCATTGGTTTGGGGATCTAGAACAAGTACAGCGTGACATTTGACAGCCAGGACATACATTAAGGCAGACAGAACATGCAAGCCTGTTGTGGTGCCTTGCAACAGGTGTTCTACCGTGGCAGGACTCCTGTGTATATCTAACCCACAAGCATGCAACATAATAAGGAACAGACATGAACTTCCCGTTTTTGACATCATTACAAATTGTGGTTTGACGTAAACCACCCGCCTCCGCGCATTACGAGTATAGTGGCATTTTGTATCATACGCATATTACACTGTACATGAAAAAAATACGTGCACACGCATACATACATGTACCTTCTGGTCCCTAAATAGCCATACACATAAAGCGCACACCGCAGACGTAAGTCACGAAGTGATTCACGAGTGGCTTCACGAAAGTGATTCCGAGTTTTTGAAATCGTGGGAAAAAACGTCATTTTCACGCAGCTGAAAGTCTACTTGAGCCTACCTGGCTTATCGTTCCTGAGTTTCGCTGTCGAGTAATATTATACACAGCCATATACTAACACGTGTAGTCTGACTGCATGACTACGTTGTGGAATATAAACCTAACAAACGCCTTATTATGTGTTTTGTTTTTGATTGGTCGGTAGTGTACGCTGGCTACTGTCGATTGAAACACAGATATATACCCAACGCACCTGCACTGTTATCACTGATATACTGTATATATCTGTGATTGAGTGTTATTTGCTGCGATGTATTTTAATAGGGACACAACTATATATTGTAAACAACAGCTGCCACATAAGACAGATATACGGTATATATGTAGATAAGATACATTAATGCTCGATTTAAATCTAAATAAGGGGCAGTCATTGTTATTTATGATTACGCCACATATTACTGGTCAATGATTCGTTTCGTCCAGGGGGCTGAGCCGTTCTTCTCGTCTCTAACCAATACTTCTGCGGCCTTTCTCTGATATATATGCTCGTCCGACGGATTTCGTAGGCGATGCTTGCGAGTTTCCCCCTCTTTCTTTCAATTCAGGCGGCAGGTCTGTCCGCACACTCATCTTCGTTCCCTTGAGATTAGGACCGGCTCGCAGAAAGCTTCCGTTCTCCCCAGTGTAGGAAAAGCACAACTATATGTCGCCAGAGCATCGTAGCGCTTTTGGAGCGATGGGCATTAACGGATTACGATACGATCGACGAAAACACTTTCCAGTTTGAGATTTTCTTTGGCAAATTTTCGACCCTAAATATCGTATCTTTCGGATCATTTCCGTAGCCGTCCACAGCCGTAGAGCAACAAGTGGTACTTCCTAGAATATGCTGGGTCGAGAGCAGTGAGTACTTGATGTCATGTTCTTCCTTCCCCTCCGTGTAGACCCTCTCAGCCACGCACTGATGTCATGTTCTTCCTCCCTCTCCGTGTAGACCCTCTCAGCCCCGCACTGATGTCATGTTCTTCCTTCCCCTCCGTGTAGACCCTCTCAGCCACGCACTGATGTCATGTTCTTCTTCCCCTCCGTGTAGACCCTCCTCAGCCCCGCACTGATGACATGTTCGTCCTGTCCCCTCCGTGTAGACCCTGCTCAGCCACGGACTGATGTCATGTCTTCCTTCCCCTCCGTGTAGAACCCTCTCAGCCATGCCTGATGTCATGTCTCTTCCTCCTCTCTCCGTGTAGACCCTCTCAGCCACGCACTGATGTCATGTTCTTCCTCCCTCTCCGTGTAGACCCTCTCAGCCACGCACTGATGTCATGTTCTTCCTTCCCCTCCGTGTAGACCCTGCTTCGAGGTGTCTGCCCCTACCCGGAAGTCGACAACTGGGACATCCTCGGCTACCTGAAGTCGGGCCGCCGCATGCCACAGCCATCGTACTGTCCGAAGCTACTGTACGTATTATTATTATTATTAAATCTTTATTGCATGTAATTCAAATAGAAATACATGTACTGAAGACAGTCTTTTTCATGTAGAAAAAATCTGATAAATGCAATAGTGTTGACTGTTACGCAGTTAAAATATTAAAATTTCTGATTTCTTTCATTATGGTATGCTCCCAGATCTTGTTCCTAGCATCTTCAGCATCCATGAGGAGTTACGCGCCGTCGCTCTCACATCTTGTTGCTAGCGTCCTCAGCATACCTGAGGAGTTTGCTCCCACATCTTGTTGCTAGCATCCTCAGCATCCCTGAGGAGTTCGCTCCCACATCTTGTTGCTAGCATCCTCAGCATCCCTGAGGAGTTCGCTCCCACATCTTGTTGCTAGCATCCTCAGCATACCTGAGGAGTTTGCTCCCACATCTTGTTCCTAGCATCCTCAGCATACCTGAGGAGTTCGCTCCCACATCTTGTTGCTAGCATCCTCAGCATACCTGAGGAGTTCGCTCCCACATCTTGTTGCTAGCATCCTCAGCATCCCTGAGGAGTTCACTCCCACATCTTGTTGCTAGCATCCTCAGCATACCTGAGGAGTTTGCTCCCACATCTTGTTGCTAGCATCCTCAGCATACCTGAGGAGTTCGCTCCCACATCTTGTTGCTAGCATCCTCAGCATCCCTGAGGAGATCGCTCCCACATCTTGTTGCTAGCATCCTCAGCATACCTGAGGAGTTCGCTCCCACATTTTGTTGCTATAGCATCCTCAGCATCCCTGAGGAGTTACGCACCATCGCTCCCACATCTTAGCAACCTCAG